GACTTGGCAGTACTACTACTGACCCAGTTGGTCAAATCCCAAAGAACATGGCTGCTAGACTGGGTCTGTGGTGGATGGTGAGGGAAAAACATACTTATCCTCGTCCTTCTGTCCAGTGCAAATACATTTGTCCACAACAGGATCAGTAGGAGTGATTCTCACACAGTACTTAGAGACAACGTCCGGTCTTCCAGTTGAGGATACATTGCATTGTGCTGTGTAATACTAAATGTGTGCCAAATGGGATAGACTTGGAACAGATCTAGCAGCTCAAGACTGAGTATCCATGAGATACAGTGGAACAGAGCAATGGCACATTGGCCATAATAGCGAGAGGAGTAAAGTAACAGGAATGTCTTGCTGCAATCATACAGGTCCTTGATAAGAGCACATGTGGAGTATTGCGTGCAGTTTTAGTTTCTTTATCTGAGGAAGGATGCCCTGGCTATGGAGGGAGTGCAAAAAAGGTTTAGCATTATGATTCTTGGGATGGCAGGATTGACGTATGAAGAGAGATCGGTTAGGACTGTATTTACTGGAGATTAGAAACCAATAGAATTCCAAGAGGGCTAAACAGGATAAATGCAGGAAGGATGTTCCCAGTGACTGGGGACTCCAGAACCAGGCATCGTGGTCTAAGGTTGCTATTAGGCTATTTAGGATTGAGATGAGGAGAAACTTCTTCATCCAGTGAGTAGTGAGCCTGTGGAATTCTCTGCCACAGAATACTGTCTTCAAGAGGAGTAAGATATAGTTCTTGGGCTAAAGGGGTCAAAGGCTACGGGGAGAAAATGTGAACATCTGTGTTGGATGACCAGTTGTGATTATATTGAATGGTGGAGGAGGCTTGAAGGGTTGTATGTCCTAGTCCTGCTATATTCTATGTTTCTATGATTTCTTTATATTTCATCTTTCAGCAATGCCAAAGGAGAGGCAATGACCTTGTGGTATTATCGCTAGACTGTTAATCCAGGATAAAGTTCAAGGGACCTATGTTCGAATCCTGCAACGATAGATGGTGGAATTTGAATTCAATAAATATCTGGAATTAAGAATCTAGTGATGACCATGAATCCATTGTTGATTGTCGATTGACTGACCTTTAGGGAAGGAAACTGCCATCCTTACTTGGTCTGGCGTACATGTGACTCCAGGCCCACAGCAATGTGGTTGATTTTTAACTGCCCAATGCGCGATAAATGCTGGCCTAGCCAGTGACCCCCTCATGCCATGAACGAATAAAGAAAAAAAAGTTTTACACTAACTATTGCCACACAGGATATTAACTAACAACAAAATATTAGATTAATGATAAAAGTGTGCGGGACAGAATTATTAACCAGTTTTTATCTTGTGGCTTTGCCAAACAATCCAAAATCACTCTTTGCTCTTGTTACTCCCTCAACGGCTCTGCACTTTCTGGTTCTAATGATATGATACCATATTAGACAATTAAGTAACCCAGCAAGAGCAGATACTTTTTCCACTTTATCCATTTGCTCTTATGGAGATGGAGATGGTGATAATATAATTTTTAAATAAATGGACAAATATTGCAGTGTGTTTCAGCAGTTATTTATATCCTTGCTCACATGATCAGTTTGTGACATATTTGTGGTGGATTGTCCATCTGGAAAAGAGAACTGAGGAAACTGAATGAAGCTGTGAATGAAAGGGTGTGGCTAAAGAGACATTAGCTGATTCTGTGGTGTAAGCTAAAGCAAAACTGGTGTGTATAATCTGGGTATTAAAAGTATTGAGTCTGAAAGTACATATTTCTGCTTTAAGTTTAGTTAAGAACATTAGAACATTTTGAGGATTGATAAAGGACTGAATGAGGGTTGTATACACAGGTAGCACAGTGGCTAAGTGGTTAGCACTGCCGCCTCACAGTGCCAAGGACTCCCATTTGATCCTGGCCTTAGGTGACTGTCTGTGTGTAGTTTGCACGTTCTCCCTGTGTCTCCATGGGTTTTTGCCTGGTGGTCCAGTTTCCTCCCACAGTCCAAAGCTGCGCAGGTTAGGTGGATTGGCCAGAGAGTAAATTACCAGTAGTATCCAGGATAAGTGGGTTAGTCATGGTAAATGCAGGGGTATGGGGATAAGGAGAGGCTCTTGGCCTGAGTTGCTTTTCTGAGGGTCGGTGCAGACTTTTGATAGGTCGAATGGCCTCTTTCCACACTGTAGGGATTCTATGATTCTATACACTTTGAAACTTGATCGATGTATATTGCCATTGGCTGTATTGAAGTTACAATGGGGTACTGTGTAATTATCAAATGTATTTGTGATGCAGCTAAAACTTGGTTCTTCTTGATTGGGCACACCAACTTTATTGATTCATGGTGCATGCTGATACTGGAGGAGGTTATTTCCAACTGTACATGTCTTTACACTTACTGTTTACCGCAATCATGAGTTCTGTTTTTTGTACCTGTTCAATCCCAGATGAAGAGTCTGAACTCTGATGTTATGCAGATGCGCAACTAAAGAGTAGGACTGAAAAATTAGAAGTTGAATAATGATTCAAACTGTGACTGTAATATATTGGCTGTTGGCTGATTGGTTTAGTACTCTGAATCCGACTTGGATTTGTTAATACATGCACTCACACACTCTCACTACTGTATGTATTAGTTGGTTCTGTCCAGTGGTACCAAATTGCAGTCTGGTTTTGAGTTGGTTTGATTTATTATTGTCACATGTACTAAGATGTACTAGAAAATATTGTTTTGCCTGCTAACACCAGACCAATCATACCTTACAGAAGTACATCAGGGTAATAAAACAGAATGTAGAGTAATGTTACAGCTACAGAGGAGGTGCAGAGAAAGATCAATTCTAACCTGTGAAGAATCCGTTCATAAGTCTGATAACAGCGAGGAAGAAGATGTTTTTAAATCTAGGTATGTGTTTTCAAACTTTTGTAACTTCTGCCTGATGAAAGAGGGTAGAAGAATGTATAACTGAGGTGGGAGGGGTCTTTGATTATGTTGCCTTCTTTCCCAAGGCAGTGGGAAGTGTAGATGGAATCAATGGAAGGAAGGCTGCATTCACAATTCTCTAATTTCTTGCAACCTTGGGCAGAGCAGATGCCATACCAAATGTGATCCACCCATATAGGATGCACTCTGTGGTGTATCTATAAAAATTGGTAAAAGTCACTGTGGGCAAGGCTAAGGAAATTAGGCATGTGGATGGACCAGGATAGATCATTGGTGATATTTACTCCGAGGAATTTGCAGTATTTATCATTTTATGAAATTTTCAAGGTATGACGTCAGTGTGAATGAATAACTTGCATTGTCATTTGTTATTATTTCCTTCAATTTACAGCCCAAAGCTGTTGAAAATTCCCTCTCTGCTTTTGAAACCAGTAGCTTTTGTATCAGCTTCATGTGTTCTGTTTGTGTACCTGGTTGTGAAATGATGTTACCTGAACACTGGCTCACCTCTAATATGGGGTAGTAAGAACTGCCAATGCTGGAGTCAGACATTACACGGTGTGGAGCTGGAGGAACACAGAAGGCCAGGCGGCATCAGAGGAGCGGGAAAGCTGACGTTTCGGGTCGGGACCCTTCTTCAGAAATGGGGGAGGGGGAAGGGAGCTCTGAAATAAATAGAGGGGAGGGTGGGGCTGGGGAAGATAGTGGGATGGTGATAGGTGAGTGCAGGTAGGCAGTGGTAGGGATTGGTCAGTGAGGTGGGAGGAGCTGATAGGTGGGAGCGAAGACGGACAGGTCAAGGAGGCAGGGATGAGAGGAAGGCTTGGTCATGGGATGAGGCCGGGGGGTGGGGAGATTTTGAAACTAGTAAAGTCCACATTGAGACCATTGGGTTGTAGGCTCCCAAGGTAGAATATGAGGTGCTTCTCCTCCAGTTTCCGGGTGGTGTCATTATGACATGTTGTCCAGGGAGTTGAAATGGTTCGCGACTGGAAGGTGGTGTTATTTGTCATAAACAGAGTGCAGATGCTCTACAAAGCGGTCTCCGAGCCTCCGCTTAGCATCCCTGATGTAGAGGAGGCCACACCGGGAGCAGCGGATGTGCAGGTGAACATCTGTCTGATGTGGAAGGTTTTTTTCGGGTCCTTGGGTGGAGGTGTAGGGGCAGGTATAGCACTTCCTGCGGTTGCAGGGAATGGTGCTAGAGGGGAGTGTGGAACGGATGAGGGAGTCGCGGAGAGGGCGGTCCCTACAGAAGGCAGATGGGGGTGGGAAGGGAAATATATCCTTGGTTGTGGGGTCAGATTGCAGGTGGCGGAAGTGGCGGAGAATGATGCGTTGAATCTGGAGGTTAGTGAGGATAAGGGGGATTCTGTCTTTGTTTTTGTTGTGGGGAGGGAACGTGAGGGAAGAGGTGTGGGAAACGCAAGAGATGCGGTGGAGAGCATTTTCGACCACTGAAGGGGGGATGTTGCGGTCTTTGAAATATGAGGATATCTGGGATGTTTGGGAGTGGAATGCCTCATCTTGGGAGCAGGTGTGGTGGAGGCGGAGGAATTGGGAGTAGGGGATTGCATTCTTGCAGGAAGGTGGGTGAGAGGAGGTGTAGTCTAGGTAGCTGTGGGAGTTAGTGGGCTTGAAATACATGTCAGTTTCGAAGTGGTCACCAGAGATGATGACAGAGAGGTGTCATCGATGTAGCAAAGGAAGCGGTAGGGATAGTGCCAGTGTAGCTGCGGAAGAGGGCATGTTCCTTGTCTTCCGAAGAGGCAGGCATAGCTTGGACCCATGCGGGTTCCCGTGGCCACCCCCTTAGTCTGTAAGAAGTTGGAGGAGTTGAAGGAGAAGTTGTTGAGTGTAAGGACGAGTTTGGTTAAGCGGATGAGGATGTCGGTGGAGGGGGACTGGTTGGGCCTGCGGGAGAGGAAGAACATAGAACATAGAACAGTACAGCACAGTACAGGCCCTTCGGCCCACGATGTTGTGCCGAACTTTTACCCTAAACCTAAGGTCTATCTAATCTCCACCCCTACCTTTATAGTATCATCCATTAAAAGAAACCGGCAGGATTCGAACCTGCGTGGGGTACCCCAATGAAATGGAAATCCATTGCCTTAACCACTCGGCCACGACTACCAGGCCCTCAAAAAATGGAGAAACGGAGAGCTTTTAGGCCATCTGCGTAAGGAATACAAGTGTACAGGGATTGGAAATTCCGTAGTGAAGATGAGGTGTTGGGGGCTAGGGAATTGGAAGTCTTGGAGGAGGTGGAGGGCCTGGGTGGTGTACCGGACAAGAGTGGGGAGTTCCTGGACCAGAGGGGAGAAAATAGAGTGGAGGTAAGTGGAGATTAGTTTGGTGGGGCAGGAATATGCAGAGACAATGGGTCCATAGTGAAGATGAAGTGTTGGGGGCCAGGGAATTGGACCAATATGAAGATGAGGTGTTGGGGGCCAGGGAAACTGGAGGAGCAGCACCTCATATCCCGCCTTGGGAGCCTACAACCCAATGGTCTCAATGTGGACTTTACTAGTTTCAAAATCTCCTCACCCCCGGCCTCATCCCATGATCAACTCTCCCTCTCATCCCCGCCTCCTTGACCTGTCTGTCTTCTCTCCCACCTATCCGCTCCTCCCACCTCACTGACCAATCCCCACCATTGCCGACCTGCATTCACCTATCGTCATCCCACCTACCTTCCCCAGCCCCACCCCTCCTCTCTCTCTTTATTTCAGAGCTCTCTTCCCCCTCCCCATTTCTGAAGAATGGTCCTGACTTGAAATGTCAGCTTTCCTGCTCCTCTGATGCTGCCTGGCCTGCTGTGTTCCTCCAGCTCCACGCTGTGTTATCTCCCCTCTAATGTGTTCCTCTGACCTCTAGTGTGACTTTGGTTGGTGTTTGGTTCAGTGCCGTGATCTGAAACTGAGTGGGGCTGAGTGGTCAAAAAAAAATTTATTGCACAGATATTTTTCTAAGTATTATGCTCTTTACAATCTTCCTGCCATGCCCTTGTTTGAAATTGAGATTTAATCCTTCAGTGTAGTTCCCTGGAGAGTATCTGAAAGGATTCTTGGTGCTTGCTTGACTTTGGTAGGTTATCATTCTTCCAAAGACTTAATGACACTGCTGGGAAATCAGTGTTATCAATATTCCTCTCCCATCAAATAATTGATGTTAGTTGCTCATATTCTGTAGCCAACTGTGCGTTGTCTGCACAACTCGGGACTGAGTATGTTCAGGAGTGTTTGACTTTTGACACAACTAGGACTTTGAAGGAGTTGGAGGAAGAGTTCACTGCAGCCTCGCTGCTTTGCATTTCACTGTACGTGTGATCTCTGATACCATCTCTCGCTATCTTGCTCCATGTGGACAGAACCTGAAGGTAAACTTATTGTTTAGGACAGTGGGGTGATTGAAATAGGCAAAGTAAATGGTATTACTAAAAATAGTTATTGTTTAAAATTTCATTCCATTCTGATACTGTCTGGGCCTGCACTATAAATACTGTTTTCTCAGCTCCTGGATTATTGTGTTTTTTAAGTTCATTTACAGATTGTGGGTATCACTGGCAGGTCCAGCATTCATTGCACGTCTTTAGTTTCCCTTGAGAAGATGGTCCAGTGAAAATGAAGGTATGCTGATATAGGTTTAGGTCAGGATGGTGTGTGGTGTTGCCATGTATTTGCTGCCTTTATCCTTCTGGGTCGATGAGTTCATGGATTTGGACTGTGTTGTGGAGGGTGTCTTGCTGAGTTCCTGCAGTACATCTTGTAGGTGGTATGTGCTGCTGCCGTGTGCTGGTTGATGGTCGTGGATGTGCTGCCAATCTAGCAGGTTGCTTTGTCCTGGTTGGTGTCAAACTGTTGAGGTCTTGCTGCATTTCAACATGGTCTGCTTCAATATCTGCAGGGTCTCAAATGGTGCTGAATGTTGTACAATCAACAGTGGACATCCCCACTTTGGAGTTTATAATGGAGATAAGGCCATTGATGATGGAGCAGAGGATGGCTGGGTCTGGGACATGACCTTGAGGAACTCCTTAGCTGAAAGACTAAACAATATAGTGAGCCAGCGATAGTAGGAACTGCAGATGCTGGAGAATCTGAGATAACAAGGTGTAGAGCTGGATGAACACAGCAGGCCAACTCCTCTGATGCTGCTTGGCCTGCTGTGTTCATCCAGCTCTACACCTTAATATAGTGAGCCAATTGTTTTGTGTATGCAGCAAAGAACTGAAAGAACTTTGAAACAATAAGGTGGTAATGTCACAGCACTTATAAACCAGAACCCCAGGCTAAGGTTCAGGGACACTGGTTTGAATGTGACCATGAAATTGAAATTAAATAAAATTTGTAATTTAAAGCTAGTCGAATGGTGAGTGACCATGTAATCATTGTCAACTGTCATAAACTGCAGATGATTGACTTCCATTAACCACGACAGTCTTTCTTTGTACTAGGTATACCATTGACCACCAGATTTGCCAGTGCTACTCATTGATGTCACTTGGTCAAATGTTGACTTGATGTCAAGAGCAGCCTCCCTGAATCCCCTCTACTGCTTTATTCATGTATTGTATGTGCCAAGGCCAGCATTTCTTGCCCTTGAACTGATTTCTAGGTCATTTAGTCAACCACGTTGCTGTGGGTGGGGACGTCACTTCTCTGCCAGACTGGGTAAGGATGACAAATGTGCTTCTGTCAAGGGCATTTGTGAACTGAGTTCTGAGGAAGGGTTACCGGACCCGAAACGTTAACTCTGTTTTTGCCTTCACAGATGCTGCCAGACCTGCTGGGCTTTTCCAGCAACTTTGTTTTTGTTCCTGATTTACAGCATCCGCAGTTCTTTTGTTTTTGTTTTGGTTTGCATTTGTGAACTAGATGGGTTTTTATGACAACCGACAATGGTTTTTTATATGGTCACCATTAGACTAGCTTTAAATTCCAGATTTAAATTTCATGTTGGCATTCTATCAGAGCATTACCTGTGTTTCTCGATTAATAGTGTAGCAATATTACCAAAAGGCCATTGCCTACCTGCAGTAAGTTCTGCTCTTCTCTCCACTGGGACTTTCTTTTGTCTCTTCGACATTGTTCACCTTGATTTGTTTTCTGTTTCCTTCTTGCACCGTGTAATTTAATCTCTGCTGGCATATAACCTATCTCAGATCATCCTTTTTGCTGTTTTTTCTCTTCTCCTCACTCTCACATGCTCAATATTTGTTCCATTTGTAGCTTTTCTCTTTAAAAACGGTTCACTAGTAGCATTTACCTATCCTTTTTTAGTTCTGTGCTAGTTTTGAATTGTAGCTTTGTTCCGATTAAGAGCTCCCAGCCTACCACCTCTAATTAACACAGTTACTGTTCTGCAAATTGGGTACATCTGGGACTTGAAGAGGTGATACCTTCAGAACATCCTAAAATTAATACCTGAATATGTCACAAAGTATTAATCTACAGAATGTAATTCTTAATTGAAAACTATGGTCCCAGTAATTGCCTCATATTTAATATTTTTGGGCTTCTGTTTCGGATGCATCTGGGTCAGTAAAACCTTTTGAAAAGTATGATTGATTTAAAAAAATTTAAAAGTATTTCATAATGAGAAGACTTTATCCAAATTCACAAAGTAGCACAAGTTCTAAGTGGTTCAGATTGTAATGAAATGCTTTAGTCCTGCCAAGTAGAAGTAATAAGTTAATACCTGTTGCTCAGCTAATAGATGACCACTCAGCTACTGTCATTGAAACCTTTTTGAAGAGAAAGGATGGAAGAAAATTGATATTGTAGAGTATTCCATCTGACTTTTCCCTTTTCTCAAAGATCTGACTGTTGTTTTTATGGGCAAAAGTTACGTTCAGGTACATTGACATGTCCTAGAGCAGATCATGCAAGTCTTATTCTTGTCCTCTTTGACTTACACACACGTGCTTATGCATTACAGTGGGTGGGATGGTGGTGGGGAATGCACTGAATAATGACTTGCAGTATGGTTCAAATTGGTTACACATGGTTGTGATCAGTTGTAAGACCTCCACTCTTCCTACTCTGGCCACAATTTTCTGTTTCAACACAGTTTAGTATCTTTGCTCTGTATAGCTAAATTATCTACTGTCTTCACTGACAGACCCAGAGAATATTCTTTTCTATCCAGCTGCAAATCTTTGCCTATGCTTAATACTGTTGATATTGTGGGATGTTCCTGATGATTGGGAAGTCCAGAACCAGGGTTCACAGTCTACCATAAGACCATAAGAAACAGGAACAAGGGTAGGCTGTTCAGCCCCTTAAACCTGTTCCACCATTCAATAGGCATGTGACTGAACTAGTATTCCTCCAGTCTACTTTCCTGTGTTTTCCCTGTAACCCTGGATTCTCTTACTTATCAGCCTTAAATATACATGTGGACTGTACCCCCAGAGCTCTATGAGGCAAGGAGTTCCAAAGACACTCAGCCTTCTGAGAGAAGCAATTCCTCCTCATTTCAGTCTTAAATTGGCGTCCCTTTATTCTGGTACTATGCCCTCTCCTAGACTTCCCCCATGAGGGAAAACATCCTCTCAGCATTTACTGAGTCAAGCCTTGTAAGAATCCAATATATTTTAATGACATCACTTCTCATTCTTTGAGTAGAGTAGAGTCCCAATCTGTTTAGCCTTTGTTCATAAGACAATCCTTCCATACCAGGAATCATCCTAGTGAACCTTCTCTGACTGCCTCCAATGAAATAATCTTTCCTTAAATAAGGGAACTAAAACTGCTCACAGTATCCCAGATTTGGTCTCACCAACACCTTGTGCAGTTCCAGTAAGACTTCCCTACCTCTACCACAACCCCGTTGAAACAAGGGCCAACTTTCCATTAGCGTTCCTGATTACCTGCTATTTGTGTTTCATGCAAAGTACAAGAGAAATTTTGTACTCCCAAGAGTGGTGAACCTGTGAAGCTCTCTGCCATAGAAAGTGGTTGAGGCCAAAACATTTGAAGTTTTCAAGAAGGAGATAGATATAGTTCTTGTAGGTCAAAAGGTATATTGGATGATTGGCCACCATCATTATATTGAATGGTGTTGCAAGCCTGAAGGGCCAGATGGCTTAGTCCTGTTCCTATTTTTTATATTTCTGTGTTTCTGATGAG